TCATCCTGGCTTCTGAGGAGCATTCTGGTTCTACTTCTTCGAACATAGATTTGTTTGTTCTTCTGGCAGTCCATGGTGCTTTTAATATTCTCCTCTAACACCATAACATCAATGCTTTTGTGGTCTTCCTTATTCATTGTCCAGCTTTCACATGAATATTTTTTATTGTTGTTAAGTTCTGTCGAGTTGATTCCAACCCATAGTGATCCTGTATAGGGTTCCCGAGGAGCAGCTGGTGAACCTCTGACCTTGCAGTTCAAACAGCTTTGCAGTCTGGCACATTAACCCACAGTGCCACACCAGGACTCCATGCATATTAGACTACTGAAAATACCATGATGTGGGTCAGGTACACCTTAGTCCTCAAACTGACATCTTTGCTCTTGAACACTTAAAATTGATTTTGTGCAACAGATTTGCCTAGTGCAATATGTTGTTTGATTTCTTGACTATTGCTTCCAAGAGTGTTGATTGTGGATCCAAGCAAAATGAAGGCTTTGACAATTTCATTCTTTTCTCTGCTTGTCTTCATGTTTTTTACTGGTCCAGTGATGCAGATTTTTGTTTCCTTTACATTGAGATGCAAGCCATACACAAGGCTGTGGTGTTTGATCAGCATTAGTAGTTTAAGTCCTCTTTACTTTTAGCAAGGAATTTTGTATCATTGACATACTGCACGTTATTAATGAGTTTTCCTCCCATCCTGATAGCACATTCTTCTTCAAATATTCCAGCTTCTGAGATTACTTGCTTAGAATATAGGTTGAATAAGTATGGTGAAAGGATATAACCCTAGAGCACGCCTTTCCTGATTTTAAAGTATTCACTGTCCCCCTGTTTTGTTTGAACAACTGCCTCTTGGTCTATGTACAGGTTCCTCATGAGCTCAATTAAATGTTGTGGAATAACCATTCTTCGAAATGTTACCCATAGCTTGTCTTGATCCACAAAGTAAAAGCCTTGGTATAGTCAATAAAGCACAGGTAAACATTTTTTCTGGTATTCTCTGCTTTTAACCAAGATACATTTGACATCAGCAATGATAGCCCTCGTTTCATGTCCTCATCTGATTCCAGCTAGAACACCTTGAAATTCTCTGTTAATGTACTTTTGCAAACATTTTTCAATTATCTTTAGCAAAATTTTCCTTGCATGTGATGTTAAAGGTACTGTTCAATGATAAATGCATTCAGTTCAGTCACCTTTCTTTGGAATGTTCACAAATATGGATCTCTTCCAATCAGTTGACCACATTTCTTGGCAAAGATGGATGAGTGCCTCCAGTGATACATCAGTTTGTTTAAAGATTTCGATTTCTATTCCATCAGTAAGTGGAACTGAGTTCATTGCCAGTGTCTTCACTGCACTGGCCTTCTTCCTTCAGTACCATTGACTCTTGATTATGTGATCTGTCTTGAAATGATTAAAATGTATTTTGGGTACAGTGACCGTATTCCTTCCATATTATTTATTCTTATGCTTTTTTTAAGGTTTTATTACGAATTGAGTAGTAGTTTACATGGGAGAATGTCGGCTTTACACTCATCGTATTCTGTTCCATTCCAATGATTACAGTCCCCTCCATGCATCAAGAGAGATTAGTCCATGGAGAAGGATATCATGATTGGTAAAGTGGAGAATCAGCAAAAAGAAGGAATTCCCCAATGAGACAGATTGGCACAGTGGCAGCAGTAATATAATCATCAAGCTTAACAATGATTATGAGAATATCGCTATGAATTGGAACCCATTCACCAGCACCTTTTCGCAACCTTAGAACAGAGTCATGATTGGATATTTTTCTGTCTATCTGTATTAGTGTGTATTATGCATTTGGAATATAAAAATGAGTGAGACTCATACCTTATGTACATGGTACATCCATTCTCATTGATTTGAATAATGTAGCCTAGGAAATATAATCACATTTTTTCATGGATTATACAAAGTGTAAAGAGACAAATCTGCTGCACAAGACCTTTTTAAAGTGTTGAAGAGCAAAGATGTCAGCTTGAGGACTAAGGTGCAGCTGACACAAACCATGGTGTTTTCAATAATCTCATAGGCATGTGAAAGTTAGACAGTGAATAAGGAAGATCATAGATGAATTGTTGCATTTGAGTTATAGTGTTGGAGGAGAATATTGAAAGTGCCATGGGCTGCCGAAAGAACCAACAGATGTGTGTTGAAAGAAGTGCAGCCACCGTGCTCCTTGGAGGTCAGGATAGCCAAACTTCATCTCTCATACTTCGGACATATTGTCAGGAGGGACCAGTCACTGGAGAAGGATATCATGTTTGGTAAGGGAGAAGGTCAGAGAAAAAGAGGAAGACCCCCAGCGAGATGGATTGGCAAAATGGCAGCAGCAATAGGCTCATGCGTGGCAACAGTTGTGAGGTTGGCCCGGGACTGGGCAGTGTTTCGTCCTGTTGTGCAGAGTCACTATGAGTTGGTACTGACTCGATGGCAGCTAACAATAACAAAGAGAGATTGGAGTCCTGATGTGGCATGCTGTAGGATAAGCACTGGACTGATAATCCCAGCGTTGGTGGTTCATACCTACCAGCCACTCCTTGGAAACCCTAAATAGGTTCCATATAAGTCAGAACTGACTTGACAGTATGTAACAACAACAAGCTGTTGTAAGCTAACAGATGGCTTGTTTTCATTGAGAGCCTCAGAGGGTATGGCATTAATCCTCTAGGTAGTATGCTATTGTGTGACAGTGAGTTGAATTTGATACGTAGCAACCCTATGTTGTTTTGTTGTTGTCATTAAGTGCTGTCAAGTCAGTTCCAACCCATAGTGACCCTATAGAGCATTTTGACTCTCTGACCTTGTGGTTCAAACCGACTTTGCAGTTCAGCACGTTAACCCACAGTGCCACATTAGGACTCCAGTGGTCCTATAGGACAGTATAAAACAGTACTTCATAATTTTCAAGCTTGAGTTTTTGGAAATAGTTCACTATACCTTTCTTCTCAGGAACCTCATGGTGGACTAGAACCTGCAACGGTTCAGTTAATAGCCAAGTTCATTGTCTGTTCGTATCAATCCGTGGCTCTACTTGACTGTTAAAAAGGAGAAATATACAGATACAAAGTACTAAATTTTAAGTATAACATTTTCTTGTTAAAGCTTTTTAAAAATTCATAAGCAATCTGTAGACTAAAATTAAGTTTTTCTTTTTCAAAATTGGGGTTATAATTTTTATACAATTAACAGTTTTCCTTTACATGAAATAAAATGTTCTTCTTAATCACTTGGTGTCTAAGTTGATGTATTATGAGTAAATCATTCTTTCATTTTACTTTTTAGAAATCAACTATGAATGCTTTTGTTACTTATTTCCACAAAACAGAGAATACTCTGTATGTTTAATTTAATTATAAATTTGTTGTTCTTCCTTTGGAGCATTTCTTTTTCAAGAAATATGAAATTGGAGCTTTTGTCTTTTGATTATACAACACAATAGAAATGATTACATTTGAAAAGAATCTCCTCTCAAAGTATTCCCTGATTATCTTCATTTCTTCCATCCAATTTATCAGCAGGTTCTATCATTTCAAGCTCTAAATAGATCCGGAATCAGTTGGCTACTCCCCATCTCCACTGATATCACACTGGTCTCTGTCACTATCATTTCCTTCCTATGTTCCTAATTTGCATCTATCCTACCTCCCCCCAGACTGTTCTCTAAGATGCAGTCTGCATGCTTTTTAAAAAGATGTAGATCGATTGCTCAAAGAAATTCAGTGATGCTTCTCATTCCAGAATATAACCTGATTCCTCATTATAGCCTGAAAAGTCTTTTTATTTCTCCCCCATTTCATCTCCTTTCACTGTCTCTACACTCTGGTCCTACAGAGTTCCTCTCTGTTCTGGGAACAGCATCTTCTTTCCCGTCTCATGGGGCCTCTGGACTTTCCATCTGCTCTTCCAGGAGAGTTTTCCACCACCCTGGCTCCTTCTCACCTCTCCAAAGTCAATTCTAATGCCTCCTACGGCAGCCCTTCTGATACCCTGCTAACGTGTACTCCCATTACCAGCTCTTTCATATCATTGTTGTTGTTGTTAACTGTCATCAAGTCAGTTTGGACTCACAGTGACCCAGTATAAG